CAGTCTCTTCAATAAATTGTCTTAGGAAAATTGGACAGATACATGAAAAAAAAAACAAAAAAAAACCTAGATCTTTCAGAAACGAAAAAGGTGAAATAACAACAGACCCTGCCGAAACACAAAGGATTGTTACAAAATACTATGAAGAATTCTATTCCAACAAACTGAACAATCTGCAGGAAATGGACATACTTCTAGAAAAATACAACCTTCCAAAACTCAATTTTTTTATTTGCAGATGACATGATATTGTACATAAAAAACATGGAAGGACTAACTTACACCATACACAAAAATAAACTCAAAATTGATACAAGACTTAAACATAAGACGGGAAACCATAAAAATACTAGAGGCATCCACAGGTAGCAAAATCTCAGACATATGCCAAAAGAACTTCTTCACTGATACTGCCCGTAGGGCAGTGGATGCTAAAAAGAAAATAAACAAATGGGATTAAATCAAAATAAAAAGCTTTTTTACAGCAAAAGAAACCATCAATGAAACAACAAGAAAGCCCACTGTGTGGGAGAACATATTTGCAAATGATATCACTGATAAAGGTTTAATCTCCAACATCTATGTACACCTTATACAAGTAAATAAAAGGAAGATGAATGATCCAATTAAAAAATGGGCAATGGACCTAAACAGAATATTTTCAAAAGAAGACAGAAGGAAGGCCAAGAGGCACATGAAAACATGTTCAAAGTCACTAATTATCTGAGAGATGCAAATCAAAACAACAATGCGGTACTATCTCACACCTGTCAGAATGGCCAACATCAACAAATCAACAAACAACAAGTGTTGGCGAGGTTGCAGAAAAAAAGGAACCCTCGTGCACTGTTGGTGGGAATGCAGACTGGTGCAACCACTGTGGAGAACAGTGTGGAGTTTCCTCAAAAAACTGAAAATGGAACTCCCATTTGACCCAGTAATCCCACTCCTAGGAATATATCCCAAGAAACTAGAAACACCAATCAGAAAGGACATATGCACCCCTATGTTGAAAGGAACACAAGCTACAATATCTAGGATTTGGGAACAGCCTAGGTGCCTGTCAGCAGATGATTGGATAAAAAAACTATGGTACCTCTACACAATGGAATATTATGCTTCCACAAAAAAGAAGGAATTCTCATCATTTGCAGCAACCTAGATGGAATTGGAGAACATCATGCTGAGTGAAATATGCCAGTCAATGAAAGAGAAACACCACATGACCTTTCTCATTTTTGGATAATAAAGAACATTATAAACTGATGAACCAGAAGATAGATACAGAGACAGTAAAGCAACAAGCAGACTGTCAAATTACAGTGGGGAGGGTAGGGAGATCTGGGGGAGATAAGAGATCAACCGAAGGACTTGTATGCATGCATATAAGTACAACCAATGGACACAAAACTCTAGGGAGGGAGGGCATGTATGGGATTGCGGGGCTTGGGGCAATGGTAAGATATGAACATAGGTAAAAATTTAATAAATAAAAATAAAAATAAAGACACTAAACTATAAGAAAACAAACAAAAAAATAAAAAGTTACAAACACAACCTATTCCTCACATCATTACTGCATCTGGTCCAAACCATTGTCCAGTTTGTGTATCCTTCCATGGGACTAATCCCCGGGATGCTATTGTACAGCAGGCCCGATGCCTTTTGGCTGCTATACAATTCAAAAAATTGTATCACAATTCAAAAAATTTAAAGTATAAAGAACACGAATGAGCTTGTTTTGAGGTGACACATGAACCCGTCTCCCCCTTTCTGTGTTAGTAATTTCAATTTAAGATTACGATTGACTCACTATTGCTTCACCTTGATGGTTGTAATTGATACAGTTTTATGACAAGTTTGATATTGCTGACAAAAATGCTGAAAAACAGAACTAGGGTATGTGGGTCCATTGTCTGTCTTTAGCTCTAAGGGAGGATCTGGTACCGCAAAGGCAGCTAGGCAATGATTAATTACATGCTTGGCACTCTCTCCCGTTTGGGGAGTTTCAAAGATAAAGCGGGTGCAGGTATCTACATTAACATGTACCCATCTTTGCTTACCAAACTCCAGGATGTGGGTGACATCCATTTGCCAAATTTGATTAGGTTTAACAGCCCTAGGACTAACCCCCAATGATTGTACACTGAGAGCACTGCTTAACAATTTGATGAGCTTGTTCCCAAGAAATATGGAATTGTTTGTGTAAGGCAGCAGCCTTTTGATGATACAAAGCATGGGAGGACTGGGCAAGAGAAACCAGGGTAGCCTCTTGCATTACAGCAAGGAGGTGATCAATAACATCATTGCCTATAGCTAATGGACCAGGGAGACCTGAATGAGATCGGATATGATCGATAAAGCAGTAAAACTGTCATTCTCTAATGACTTTTTGAAGGTTGAAATTACCACATTTTTCAAAGATTGTTCCTGGCAGGAAATTAGATTACCTGTCTGCTGGGGGAAGGGCGCCTACCCTTCCTCCATTAACAAGGGCATAGCCAGCCCTCACCTGGGCTATTTAGATTTTTTAAAAATAATTAATACATTATTTATCTATATTCAACAATTTATTTGAGATTCTAGAGTCAATTATAATTATTTTAAAGCATTTACTTTGGATAAATTCTATAACAGAGAATTTACTGGTTTTCTTGAAGGCCTTAAAAGTTAACTTTTTAATAAGGTTCATTAGTATTTTGAAAAATACTCTTTATTGTGGAAATGCAAATCCTATTGCTGGAATTAGCTTGAATTTCTTCAGAGAAGACTTTTTTTTTGCCATTTTGCTTAGGAAAGAAAAAAAAGTAAGGTCTGGGTTTTTCATTTTCTATAGCTTTTGCAGAGAGATTCCAGCTTAAAACAATCTAATTGTCCGAAATCAGACCATGTGCACATTTTGTCTTACAGCTAGGTTCTCTCCCCATGTGCACAGAAATTCCAGACACATTTCTAAATTTTTAAGACTTTTTCATGGCAAAAAAGGAAACCTTAAATTAGCCTATTGAGAGAGTGGGCTTCCATATTGGATTACCATGTGTTTCCCTTCCCCCACATCCTGCTTACTTCGAAGGAAGTTTCAACAGCAGATCTTGCCGAATTTCTTTTTCATGCTTAATAGATAAAGACAGATTTTATTTATTTTTTTGCTTTCCGAAGTAATAACTAGTCACACAATTTGGCCAAGATTTGCATTTCCCTGCCCATTCCTCCACTCCCCTTCTGGAGTGGGCTCTAGACAGTCCCCAATCAGGGACCACAGACTGAAAGTAGATTCCTCTGGATCTTCAGCTATATGATGATTGTGAAGTTGTTTTACTTCCTTCTCCCATGCCTCTATATTTACCTTCCCTTCATCAGAAAACCATGGGCAGGTTTTACTCACAAAATCCAAAAACTCGAAAAGATGTTCATACCTCACAGAACAGCCCCTTGCTTTGAGCATAGCTTTAAGCATAGATACGCATACATTCTTTCCCTGTGATCCTGAATTTCCCATGCTTTACACGAAGCCAGTACTACATCCCTACCTTACTCACTGTGTGTGCACGCCTTAGGGCCTCGTTTCACCTGACAATTGCAGTTCTCTTACACTCAGGTCTGCACTGAGTGCCACTGGGGCCGGACTCAGCCCCACATTGGGCGCCACTGTACTGTGCCAGCACAGCCAAGGGTTTGGCGAGTCAGAGGGAGGGCGGTGAAGGATGAAGAATAAAGATAGACAAGAGAATAAGCTGGGTCTAGGTGGATCTTCTGTGCCTGGCTGAGGCCACAGAACAGATCCAGATTGCAAAGCTGATGCTTTATTTATAGTCAGGGGCAAACAAGGTAATTTACAATGTTCTTGTAAGTTTTACTTGTTTTGGCAGCACTTGCTGCCCCTCCCACAGCCCACTAGCTACTCAGGAAAGATCTAGCGAGCGGTCACAAGATCAAGCTTAATTATGCTTAGAGAGGACTGTGCCTTCTAAGCTGGGACTTGTTTGTGACTTTGCCAGCAGGTCAGTCTGAGGCTTACCATATAACCACTTCCTATATGTCAATGAACATTTTGTATGAAGATGTGGTGGGGAGAGGAGCCAGTGTCTAAACCAAGAATGACAAACTCAAAGGCTAACACAGGTCAAATAAACAAGTTTTAACTTTACATGGGCCTCAAAAAAACAAAAGCTTCAATTTTCATAGAAACATAGGTTTATTTTAATAGAGACATGCCGAATACAAAGGGCTGAAATAAATGAGTCATTGTTAACATAAAATAATAGAACATTTTAATAAAAATTAATATTTTTTCATGAACATTAACTTACCAGCCACTGAATACTTACACAAATTAATAAGCATAACACAAATAAACCTATTTTTCTTGTTCTCCGTAAGCAAAATATTTCCTGTTGTGTACACCAAACTGGTCAATCCAAGACTAATGATGTAGCAATTGGCTACTAAAATATTCCCTGCTAGTATTAGTGGAGAGAAATGGTTTGCCTGTGAGTAAGGTGTGTAAGGGAAATAAATGCAACACGATTATAGTCATCAGTCATTAGTGAACGTTGTAGTTCATTATTAATAATTCTGTATAACAGGATATTGTAAAAATTAAGTTATGAAATTTTTGTTAAAATGTTTCTTACATACCGTTATATTGGCTGGGTCATGAAAATATTCATTGTGGGCCTCATGCAGCCAGTGGGCTGTGAGTTTGACATTCTTGGTCTAAACCTATTGGTCTGCTTATTTTTCATAAAACTTAGTTTCCAGACATTTTAGTATGTGTTATTTTTGTTTATTTTATTACTGATTGTTTGTCTTTGTTATAGTAGGAGGCATATTACATGATTATTTGCTCAAATGTTCTAAATTCTAACAGTATAATAAAGTAGTTGAATATAATAGTAATCTCTAGGAAACATAAACTTTTTTCACTCTTTCATTATGATACACATAAATAACTTTGTGTCAGTTGCCACCTAAATTTAATGTCTCCTGTTACCTCTTAGAAGTTGGAATTAAATGGACTAACATCTTCTCACCAAACACGGTGGATGACTTTATCTTTGCCTATATACTGGGAGTACTTTTACTGGATGCTGTCCTGTACGGCTTTGTGGGTTGGTACGTAGACGCTGTCTTTCCCGGAGAGTATGGTGTGCCCAAGCCATGGAACTTCTTTTTGCTGGTAAGTTGTGCTGCTTCTGTTACTGAGAGAGACCACAGTGCTTATGGATATGACTTGTAATTTATATGAAAGGCAGCAGTAGTTAATTTTCCCTGTCTATAACTGAGTCAATAGGTCAGGTGAAAGAATCAATCTAATTACTTGAGGCATATGAATTCACTAACCTTTCCTAAAACACTAGAAAGCCTCTACTGCATATGTAACCTGTAGTTCACAGCCTGCCATCCAAAACTTTACAATTCTTAATAATCCGTCACTTTGCAGGCTAGTGTTTCATAAGGGATTAAACTCCAGCATAAGAAGTTAGCATAATATAGGGTCTTTGGATACTAACACGGAGAAGTTATGTTCTATATCATGGCGCTCACCACATTTGGTTAGCCACATTTCTTCATAGCTAGAGCCATAGCAAAATGGGCAGCATGTACATCTTGTCTCCCTTCTTTTTTCCTCTTATTATCACTGGCTTACATATAGCTAAGAGAAGATATGGCGGAGTGAGGTAATATGTTCTGCTTTGACCTCATTTTGCAGTGATTTCCTCTGGTTTCTCTCAGATATTTTATGATTAAACTAGAGGCCCAGTACACAAAATTCATGCACAGGGTGGGGGTGTTCCTCAGCTCAGCCTGCACCCTCTCCAATCTGGGACCTCGAGGGATGTCCCTCTCACAACCCAGGACTGCTGGCTCTCAAATGCTTTCCTGCCTGCCTTTCGGATTGCCCCTAACCACTTCTGCCTGCCAGCCTGATCACCCCCTAACCACTCCCCTGCCAGCCCGATTGATGCCTAACTGCTCCCCTGCCAGCCTGTTTGCCTCTAACTGCCCTACCCTGCAGGCCTGGTCACCTCTAACTTCCCTCCCCTGCAGGGCTGATCGCCCCCAACTGCCCTCCCTTGCAGGCCTGGTCCCTTTCAACTTCCCTCCTCTGCTGGCCATCTTGTGGTGGCCATCTTGTGTCCACATGGGGGCAGGATCTTTGACCACATGGGGGCAGCCATATTGTGTGTTGGTAAATCTGCATATTACTCTTTTATTAGATAGGATAGAGGCCTGGTGCATGGGTAGGGACCAGCTGGTTTGCTTTGAAGGATGTCCCATTTCAGAGTTGGGGTTCCCTTGGGGCGTGAGGTGGCCTGGATGAGGGGCCTGTGGTGGATTTCAGGCTGGCAATGCCCTCTGGTAATCCAAGTATCTGGAATTTATTTAGATCTTTTACAATTGAAACTTTGTAGCCTGGAGTGGAGCCAAGCCTTCTGCCCCAAAGTGGTGGCAGCCATTTTTGTTGGAATTTATTTACTTTCTATAATTAAAACTTTAGGCCTGGGCTGGCCAGGCTGCAGAAAATTGGCTTCCTCCATTGCCAGGGGCAACCCTAGCCTCCTGCTCTCTGCAGCTTTATGGCTGCTGCCATTTCTGTTGGGATTTATTTATCTTCTATATTTGAAACTTTATACCCTTGAGTGGAGGCCTGGGCCTGCCAGGGTGTCTGGAAAGCTTGGCTTCCTCCATTGCTGAGGAAACTCAAGCCTCCCTCCTGCTCTCTATGGTGGCATCACCTTGGTTGGGGTTAATTTGCATACTCACTCTGATTGGGTGGTGGTCATGGCTAGTGGGTATAGTGGAGTGATGGTTAATTTGCATATTATTATGTAGGATAGAGTCATCTCTTTTTATGCCTTGGGGATTCAAATTATAGCCAATTAGTTCTAAAACTTAATCCCAAGAAATGTTCTGCCTATGTCAATATAAAGGTTAGCAGGCTAAATGACATTCTACTGCTTTTTCTTCAGTAATGTTTTCAATGATTTCATTTTATTCTCTTAGCACTCTTATTGGTTTGGGGAAAAAACAAAGAAAACAAATGGAACAAAGAAATTTTATGAGAAAATTGAAAGCAAGTATTTTGAAGTTGAACCTACTGGTTTGGTGGCGGGTATCCAGATCCAACATTTGTTCAAGGTATTTTTCACACATCTCTTTTTTTGATGAAACTGATACTTAGTTTACAATTCATTGTAAATGTTTGCTATTAGAAATACCAAGAAAAAGATCACATGATAAAAGGTTATGGGCATTCTGTTTACTTCCTTTGAGAAAGATATAAATGAAACTTATACAAAATATAATCAAATTTTCTCCTTTCTCCAAAATAGTATCAGGCTTTCTGTAAACTATAATTGTGGTCTTCTATGAATATATTCATTTTAAAATGTAGGGTCTAGAAGTGCGATTTTCAACTGGTGTGCCACAGTGTTTTAAAATGTGATTATTTAGGGGTGCTATCTCTTTTTTTATTAGATTGTCAAATAAAAATTACAATAGCCAACACACAAAAATAGCCAGCCAGTGTGAATTAATCAAAATTACACCTATTTTAATCAGATCAGCAAGAATTGTATTTTTTGGTGTGCCACATAAATTTTAGTAATTTAGTTGGTGTATGTCATGAGATGAAAGGTGAAAATCACTGATCTAATTTCTGTTCACAAGGTTTTGCACTTGTCTATCTGTATTCTCCTCTCTCAGGGGAGGAATTCTTGTATCTCTCAATCTATCTGGATCAGTTGCAAGCATGTAGCATACAGGTATTCTGTATACTTACTGGCAATACATTGCCTCTTGAAGGTCTACCTACCTTAATTTGATTTCCTAACCCTACAGCTTTGGGAATCACAGATCTTCCCATGCAAATTCAGGTTAATTTTGGAGGTGTTTGTACTCTAGTGTGCTACATGCAGGTCTCTCTTTTGGTTATGTGGAGCCAAATACAAAATTTGTGTTTTGCTCCTCAGGATTGCTTTGGCTACTTGTTTTTCTGCTTTTGCTTGTGTGTGTGTGTGTGTGTGTGTGTGTGTGTGTGTGTGTGATCCATACAAATTTGGTAATTTTGTGTTCTGTTTCTTTTTTAAAAGCCATTGCAGTTTTTATGGGGATTGCATTAAATCTGTATACTGTTTTTGAATAATGTGGACATTTTAACTATCCTGATTCTTCCAATCCATGAATATGGAATATCTATTCATTTCTCTGTATCTTCTTCAATACTTTCAGTGTGTAAGTCCTTCATATACTTTAAGTTTATTCCTAAGTATTTTATTCTTTTTGTTTCAATTATAAGAGAAATTTTTCCCATATCTTTTTCTGAAACTTCATTGTTAGTATATAGGAATGCAATGTATTTTTGTATATATATTTTTGGTATTCTACAGCATTACTATATTTGTTTATTGTTTCTACTAGTTTTTTGGTGGTCTTTAGGTTTTCTATATACAGAATCATGTAATCTGCAAAAGGTGACACTTTTACTTCTTTATTCCGAGTTGGGATGCCTTTTATATTTTTCTCTTGACTGATTATATCTTTCTGATTTCTCTGGCTAGAACCTCCAGTACTATGTTAAATAAGAGAGGTGAGAGTGAGCATCCTTGTCTTGTTCCTGATCTTAGAGAAAAAAAGCTTTCATGTTTCACTATGAAGTATATTAGCTGAGGGTTTGTCATATATGGCCTTTATTATGTTGAGGTACTTTCCTTCTATATTAATTTTATTGAATGTTTTAATAATGAATGGATGTATCTTGTGAAATGCTTTTTCTACATCTATTGATGGGATCATAAGATTTTTATCCTTTATTTTGTTAATGTGGTGTAAGACATTGATTATTTTGTGTATGTTGAACTATCCTTGCCCTCTAAATCGTGATGTTCTATCTTTTTAAATTATTATTGAATTCAATTTGCCAGTATTCAGCATTTTTACATTTGTATTCATGAGAGATATCAGTCTGTAGTTTTGTTTTGTTATTGTTATATTTGCCAGGTTTTGTATCAAGGTTACGATGGCCTCATAAAATGTGTTGGGAAGTGTTGCCTTTTTTTTAGTTGTTTGGAAGAATGTGAGGACAGATATTAAATCTTCTTTCTCTGAAAACATGGCTACTGTGGATGGTGGCCACCCTCCCAACAATAACCTCAGCTGAACAGTCACCTCACACAAAATGAGGCCCATTTTTGTGTGAGGTTGTCTTTGTTGTGACTATACAACAAGCCAACTCTTCTCTCTCCCAAATCTGCATTCTTCCTATTCGCACACAGGTGCTGATCTCAAGAGCATTCATACACACAAATTTCTATCTTACATATACTTCCTGGATGCTAACTCCTATCTTAAGGTGTACTTTCCAGAAAATTTCATTGGTGATTATCTGTACTTGAATCAACTGAGAAAGCAGATGAGAAGATGAGAGGTAGACTCTAGTATAAGGAAGCAGCACAGTGTCAATATGTGGTGAATTAAGATGGTATTTAAGGGAAAATAAATTTTCCTTTGGTGTCATGTTTCAAGCATTTGAAAAAAAAATGTGAGGAAAGTAATATAGGGAATATGGAAGTGGATGGATATTGTTGAGGGAACTGATACACTGGAGATGGCAAATGACAGGCTATATGAGATTACCCATTAGAGGCTAGCTAAAATCTGATGAGATGACCAGGAAGCATATGACAAGATTTTTCTCTCCAGAAACCAAAGAGCATAAGAGCTGAGAACAGTGCCCTTTACTGAAACATAGGAACAGCAGAGCTCTACAGAAGGTTGAATGCCTAATTAAGCAAGTCTGCTGTCCTCGGATGGGGTGAGGTCTTTCTTGTGAAGGAACATAACATAGAGACATAGGATAGGAAATGTAAGATGCAAAAATCTTGTGTTTCAATTCCCCCTGAGCCCTCAGTCTGCCAAAATGGCTCACTCCCCCCATTTAGGGGCTAATACTTCTTTCTCTCTTCCTTAAAAATGATACAGTAGCCTCTGCCCCACAAGACAATTCACACCTCCTTCTGGCAACTGGGAATATAACTTGGGTGATGTCACCAAAGGTGGTAGGCAGCCTCTAAGAGGACTTTCAGTGACCCACATCTCTTGATTTTCATGCCATTTAGTAGGCTCTGTAGAATTAAACACTACACAAGTGACAGACTGCCTCCAGGGCTAAGTCACAGAAGGGGAAATCAGATTCCAACTTGTGAGGATACTCAAGCAGTCACCTAAATGACTGAAGAGAGTCTCACATGGGATGAAATGGCTCCTTCTCTCAGCAACTAGTACCGACTGCCAGCCTTGTGAGTAAGCTACTTTAAAGTGGATCCTTCAATTTTGATCAAGCTTTTAGATGATGTTTTAAATAAAAAACCATGAGACAAAGCTGCCCAGCTCGGCATTTCTGAGGCCAGAAACTATGACAAAAAACACATATTTATTGTTGCTTCAAGCCTCTTTGTTTTGGGTCATTTATTACTCATCAATAAACTTTAAATAGATTTGGTACCTAGAAGTAGGATGCTGCCATCACAAGTAACTAATAATGTGGGAGTAGCTTTGGAATTGGGAAGTGAGGGAAGCTGGAAGAACCTTGAAGAGAGTGTTGGTGAAGCTTAAAGAGCCTAGAACAGACTGTTAGCAAAAGCCCAGTGGAGGTGACTGCCACTGAAGACTTAGTGGAAGTGAGGAGCTGCTGTTTAAACTGGAGGAAAGAATACTCCCATTATATAACAACTAGTGGCCTGGTGCACAAATTCTCACACAATGAAAGGAAATTAATTAGGATAAATAGTTACTCGTCCTTTCTCTATAAGAGTCAGAGGTGAAAGAAAATTACTAAAATGTACATGAAAATAATATATAAATTAATGAATAAACAAACAATAACAATATGATATAACAACAACAAAGACCTGATAAGAAAACAAAAACAAGACATAAAAACAACAAAATGATATGAAAGCAACAAAAACATGATATAAACACAATGTTAATACAATGTTTGATAAATTGATTAAACTTATTCTAATATCTCCCTGTACACCACATTAAGAGTAAAAGCACTTTCAGAGTGCTTGACTAATTTCCTTTGTGATGAAGTATTTACAACTTTAACTTTAATTACACATGCTCTTCAAACTCAAGAGAAAGCAATATACACCGAGTGGCCAGATTACTATGATCTCTGAATGCGTAATAATATGGCCACTCAGTGTGTATCCTATATAAATAAAGGCTAGTATGCAAATTGTTCCCTCGACCAGAAGTTTCACTAGCAGGCAGGCTGGCCAACCATCCATGTCTCTTCCCCCTGGCCAGGCTGGCCTGACCCCACCCTTGCACAAATTCATGCACCAGGCCTCAAATACATATATACTCACTGAGTGGCCCAATTATTATGCTTTTAGAGATCATAATAATCTGGCCACTCAGTGTATTTGAATGGTTTTCCCAGCTTGGTGAGTTGGCTTAAAGTTTGACTACTACATTTGTGGTCCACTGATTGACTTTACTGTGCTGATAGGTGTTGCCACCAATAGCACTTTCTATAGCTTTTTCACAATGTTGCTCACTTCATCAACAACAAAAGTAGTCTCTTCCGCACTCTGGTAGTCCAGCCCTGCCCTTCTCCACGGCCCTATCATTAATTGTTTTAAATGTGCTGGGTATTCTGGAAAATTCATATCATTTGGAAAAAATGTTGCCTTTGCTACAACATGGAGTAAATTTTCCTTCAGATGGCTTTTCATTGGAGAAATTTAGGGATAGGCAAAATTGAAATGTCACAGTTATTCTGCCACAACTGTGTTCAATAATTTCATCCTTGTTTACCTCATATTTGCTATGAAGGCAGTTTCTACCACTATTGGTAGTATGTGTCAATAACTGTTCTTCAGACATATTCTGTCGAGGACGCCACTTTCTTTCAGCCTCAGAGGTATGTTATGGCAATAGTTGGTCTTCAGACATATTCTGTCGACAATTTCAACTTTAGGATGTCAACAAAATTGTGACATCATTATCAGCACCCACAGCCATCCTTTGTGGGCTGGGCTGGGCTGTAGGCCACATTTCATGCCATGGCAGCATAGGCTGCAATTTGGTGGGCTGTCACTCCGGGGTGGTGGCGGGGCCTGTGTCCC